CAACAACTATATATATAGTATATATATATATATATATAGATATATAGATATATAGCTATAGGTATGTATAGCTACGTGACGTAGATCATAGACTATGTAAAATATAAATCGCATGCATAACGCGTAACGGTCACATACCCGCCTTAATCAATTTTTAACAGTAATAATAATAATTATTCAATATTACCGCAATATACATGCCGCAAATTACATCCGACAGCAATATAACATATTATATATATATGTATATATATCCGTCATATATATGTATATATATATTATTATATATATATATAATAATTAGTGCTCAATACGGTACGTCACTGACAGCGTTGCCCGCAGTAAAACAACCCGTAATTGTGACTGTAATTGTAAGCTGTAAACAGCTTCTATTCTTACGTGTCTACTCTATATACTGTTACAGTATCCTGCATACAGTAACTCTAGTGTGTTGTACCGGTACTGTGTGCGTACTTTTATTAATGCACTATCTTACTTTTATTACGTACTCTATTTTATTTTATACGTACTTTTATTAATACTCGAGCGCGAAATTGTTAAAATTCTAAATTAAATTTTTCGAAATCTTGAGCCAGGCCATTTGACAACCTGGTAAGTGAGGTACAGCTACCGGAACCTGTCTATCGTGCAGTTCATTAGCTGGGGTAGTGTGTTAGGTCTTGCACACCAACCTACCTAATAAACGACGACAGATGTTGATATATGACAAACTTAATTTCCCGCAGAAATGGCAAGGTTAATGTTAGAGTAAATTAGTGACCGTAGGCTAATCATAGGGGGGCGGGCAATATTTCATGACTCAACTGTGTAATGATGAGGGACGGGCACAGCTCCTGATCGACGTACATAGTGTGTTAGGGGTGGGTCAGAGACAAGGCTTTCACGGATAAGTGACCAACAAAATCACGTTAGGGTTATTTACAATTATTAACTAGCAGAACTGGCAGCTGCCCCCTTGCCCCCCCACAGGCTACGGCCCTGGTGACGGTAAAAAGAAATTGAGTTTATAACACAATAACTTCGCACCTATGCACAAATTTCAGATTGTTTACTGCCATCATGCCGCCAGATGTGATTTTAGGGGACGCGATCTAAGCTATTGGCCACAAGAAACGATCTGAAGATCTCTCTTTACTTTGTGCGTTGGTGTGAGGTTATTGCGTAAATATCGCACGTTAAAACATTTTTGACGCAATTGTTTTACTCTACATTGCAAGCCCTTCCATTTCTGCAGGAAGTGTAGCTGGAGTGTCCAGGTGGCATAGTTTATAAGGTAGACTGTCAAGGGCTGATCTAGGGGGGGGGGACGGTCCGGGGAGCCCTACAAAATTAAAAGATATTTTTCTGCTAACAATTTGGAATTCCATCTTGCATTCTAGACATCAAAATTACTGCTCAGATGCTCTCAGAATGCACCAAT